CAAGAGTAACTTGGATTGAGTTCTCTGCTTGTTTCCGAGGATGAGGTCGAGGGCTTCTCTTTGCCTTTTGAAAGCCGCAGGGGAGGACCAGACTTCGCTTGTCAAGGTTTGAAGTTTGGAAGAGCTCCGTCCCTTCTTTTTGATCGAACGCTCGCTTGAATGTATTGAAGAGGAGAGGAGATGGTCAGGAGCTCTCGCCGCTGACTAAGAGAGAAAGGAGTCTTCTTGTTGTCGACAGAGAGGTAAACAGAGCGCGTGTTTTTCCGAGAAGTTAGAGGGGCTTGTCTTCTCAATTGCTGGGGTGGAGGACCTGCCACGGGATCTCTTCCTTTACCAAGAGGTTTTTGGAGCAGCCCTCTTCTTTCTTGTGAAATTGGAGCGAGCTTTCTTCCTGTTTTCGATGAACTCACACACTGTTGGGGGGGGGTCGTCTCTGTCCTCTCTGGCTACGGCTAGGAGTGAAGTCCCTCCAGTCTTCGCAAGACTGAGAAGCGGCCTCCCAACAGGTAATGGACCTCTCTTCGAGAAAGAAGCTCTCTTCTCTTACCACGAAAATCTTGGGGAGGAGCTCTTTTCTTGTTGGTGGCATGAGGTGGGGGAGTTTTCAAGGTTGAGGCAAAGGCAGGATTTCTCTCTTTGAACTCTTAATTTCCCTTGCCAAGGGAGAAAAGAGGCTTTATTTCGCCGACTGAGGGATAAGTGGGGCGATCTCCTCTTTCGCGAAGTTGGAGGGGCTTATGTAATGTTTCTCGAGAAGCTAGAGGGGCCTGTCTTCTGGGTCGTTGGGGGTAGGGGACCTGCCACGGGATCTCCTCCTCAGCCCTCTTCTTCGTTATGAAATTGGAGGGAGCTTTCCTTTGGTTTTGGATGATAAGGTATTGCTTCATTGTTGAGGGTAGGGGCGTCTCTGTCCTCTCTGGCTGGGAGTGAGGTCTCTTCACTCTTCTCAAAGTTGAGAAGCGACTTACCAAGAGGTAATGGAGCTCTCTAGAAAGAAGCTCTCTTCTCTTACAACGAAAATGTCGGGGGAGCTCTCTTCTTTTTCTTTTAGAGCATGAGGTGGACGAGTTCTGTTTCTTTTTCAAGAGGGCCAGACCTCTTTGTTTGAAGGGCTCCACCCTTTCTTTGAGCGTATGCTCTCTTCGTCTTTTGAAGGGGTAAAGGGGATAGTCAGCATCTCCTTTTGCCTAGAAAGAAGGAGGTCTCTCCTTGCCGACTAAGGGGTAAACGGAGCTCTCTTCTTTCCCGATATCTTGGAGGGGCTTGTTTGTTTTTTATTGAGATGGAGCTTGCTTCTGTCTCATTAGATTGGAGGAAGCTCTCAGTCTCTTCTTGTCGAGGACGAGGTAGAGAGGGCTTTTCTTTTTGGAAGCTGCTGGAGCTCTGTCCTCTTTTGCCAGTGTATCTCTTCCTCTACTGACAGGCAAAGGAGCTCTCTTCTAGAAAGAAGCTGTCTTCTCTTACCAAGAGTAACTTGGATTGAGTTCTCTGCTTGTTTCCGAGGATGAGGTCGAGGGCTTCTCTTTGCCTTTTGAAAGCCGCAGGGGAGGACCAGACTTCGCTTGTCAAGGTTTGAAGTTTGGAAGAGCTCCGTCCCTTCTTTTTGATCGAACGCTCGCTTGAATGTATTGAAGAGGAGAGGAGATGGTCAGGAGCTCTCGCCGCTGACTAAGAGAGAAAGGAGTCTTCTTGTTGTCGACAGAGAGGTAAACAGAGCGCGTGTTTTTCCGAGAAGTTAGAGGGGCTTGTCTTCTCAATTGCTGGGGTGGAGGACCTGCCACGGGATCTCTTCCTTTACCAAGAGGTTTTTGGAGCAGCCCTCTTCTTTCTTGTGAAATTGGAGCGAGCTTTCTTCCTGTTTTCGATGAACTCACACACTGTTGGGGGGGGGTCGTCTCTGTCCTCTCTGGCTACGGCTAGGAGTGAAGTCCCTCCAGTCTTCGCAAGACTGAGAAGCGGCCTCCCAACAGGTAATGGACCTCTCTTCGAGAAAGAAGCTCTCTTCTCTTACCACGAAAATCTTGGGGAGGAGCTCTTTTCTTGTTGGTGGCATGAGGTGGGGGAGTTTTCAAGGTTGAGGCAAAGGCAGGATTTCTCTCTTTGAACTCTTAATTTCCCTTGCCAAGGGAGAAAAGAGGCTTTATTTCGCCGACTGAGGGATAAGTGGGGCGATCTCCTCTTTCGCGAAGTTGGAGGGGCTTATGTAATGTTTCTCGAGAAGCTAGAGGGGCCTGTCTTCTGGGTCGTTGGGGGTAGGGGACCTGCCACGGGATCTCCTCCTCAGCCCTCTTCTTCGTTATGAAATTGGAGGGAGCTTTCCTTTGGTTTTGGATGATAAGGTATTGCTTCATTGTTGAGGGTAGGGGCGTCTCTGTCCTCTCTGGCTGGGAGTGAGGTCTCTTCACTCTTCTCAAAGTTGAGAAGCGACTTACCAAGAGGTAATGGAGCTCTCTAGAAAGAAGCTCTCTTCTCTTACAACGAAAATGTCGGGGGAGCTCTCTTCTTTTTCTTTTAGAGCATGAGGTGGACGAGTTCTGTTTCTTTTTCAAGAGGGCCAGACCTCTTTGTTTGAAGGGCTCCACCCTTTCTTTGAGCGTATGCTCTCTTCGTCTTTTGAAGGGGTAAAGGGGATAGTCAGCATCTCCTTTTGCCTAGAAAGAAGGAGGTCTCTCCTTGCCGACTAAGGGGTAAACGGAGCTCTCTTCTTTCTCGATATCTTGGAGGGGCTTGTTTGTTTTTTATTGAGATGGAGCTTGCTTCTGTCTCATTAGATTGGAGGAAGCTCTCAGTCTCTTCTTGTCGAGGACGAGGTAGAGAGGGCTTTTCTTTTTGGAAGCTGCTGGAGCTCTGTCCTCTTTTGCCAGTGTATCTCTTCCTCTACTGACAGGCAAAGGAGCTCTCTTCTAGAAAGAAGCTGTCTTCTCTTACCAAGAGTAACTTGGATTGAGTTCTCTGCTTGTTTCCGAGGATGAGGTCGAGGGCTTCTCTTTGCCTTTTGAAAGCCGCAGGGGAGGACCAGACTTCGCTTGTCAAGGTTTGAAGTTTGGAAGAGCTCCGTCCCTTCTTTTTGATCGAACGCTCGCTTGAATGTATTGAAGAGGAGAGGAGATGGTCAGGAGCTCTCGCCGCTGACTAAGAGAGAAAGGAGTCTTCTTGTTGTCGACAGAGAGGTAAACAGAGCGCGTGTTTTTCCGAGAAGTTAAAGGGGCTTGTCTTCTCAATTGCTGGGGTGGAGGACCTGCCACGGGATCTCTTCCTTTACCAAGAGGTTTTTGGAGCAGCCCTCTTCTTTCTTGTGAAATTGGAGCGAGCTTTCTTCCTGTTTTCGATGAACTCACACACTGTTGGGGGGGGGTCGTCTCTGTCCTCTCTGGCTACGGCTAGGAGTGAAGTCCCTCCAGTCTTCGCAAGACTGAGAAGCGGCCTCCCAACAGGTAATGGACCTCTCTTCGAGAAAGAAGCTCTCTTCTCTTACCACGAAAATCTTGGGGAGGAGCTCTTTTCTTGTTGGTGGCATGAGGTGGGGGAGTTTTCAAGGTTGAGGCAAAGGCAGGATTTCTCTCTTTGAAGGTTGGGTAGGAGCTCCGCTATCTCTTCTGTTCATTTCCATATATTGAAAAGGTAGAAGGGATAGTCATGATCTCCTTTTCTTACCTGTAGAGAAGCGTTGTCTCTTCTTGCCGACTGAGGGGTAAACAAACGGAGCTCTCCTTTTCCTCGATATCTTGTAGGGACATGGTTGTCATTTTGTAAATGGAGCTCTCTTCTGTCCCATCAGATTGGAGGAAGCTCTCAGTCTCTTCTTGTCGAGGATGAGCACTCTTCTCTCTCGCGAAGTTGGATGGGCTTGTGTGCTAATTTGAGACGGGGCCCTCGTCTGTCTCGTTAATAAGTTGAAGGAAGCTCTCTTCTTGCCGAGGATGAAGTACAGAACTTATGCATTGCTTTTGAATACCGGGGGAACTCTGTCCATGTTTTCAGGGGCGAGCTCTCTTCAGTCTTCGTAGGATTAGGATGAAGACTTCCCAAAAGATGAAGAGCTCTTCTGGAAAGAAGCTGTGTTCTCTTACCGAAAGTAGCTTGGATTGAGTTTTCTGCTTGTTTCAGAGGATGAGGTAGAAGGCTGCTATTTGCCCTTTGAAGGCCGCAAGGGAGGAACAGGCTTCTCTTGTCAAGGTTTGAAGTTTGGAAGAGCTCCGTCCCTTCTTTTCGATCGAACGCTCGCTTCCATGTGTTGAAAAGGAGAGGAGACGAATGAACGCCGAATCGCAGACCGCGCCGCCGATATGAAAGCAGATGAAAAAGGTTGTGCGATCGTCAGAGATATATGACGAAGGTGTGACAGCTTCTGTTGTCATGTGCTACTCGACGAACCGCTCCAGAGGTCTAGGCGCGGTCTGTAACCACATATCAAAATCTCTTCGTTGCCTTACGGCCTCGAGCACTGTATCATCGGAGGTCCGCTTACCATTCCCCACAGCATCCGCGGCCTGGATCTGTCACAGCGTGACAAAGGCAACATAGCATCTCACTGTGTTGCGACCGATTGTTGGTTCAACCGCTAGTTAAACTCACGGCTGTTTGATGGACGGTGCCTGCAAAACAGCCTCCAGAGTGGGAAAGAACTGAGGTTGACCCAACAACAAACCCACACATTATACCTAAAGGTCCGTGCCACATAATATAGGGGCCTTAATAATTGGCAATACTTTTTGGGGGGTTCCGTATTATGATTGTAGTATAATGGCCCCCAAACCCCGATTCTAATTTTTGACGCACCTATTTGCCCAGGTACAGAGTAGACAGCAAGAGCATGGACGCTCTAGGTGTGTTGCCACGGCTTTGGTTGAGATATTGTTCCAATAATGGCCCATACTCAATGCAACAGGCGCGCACGCTAATCATAGTCCTTTCCACTCAGACCTCCCCAATCGCCCCTTCTATTTGGCTCAAGTAAAAGTGTTTTATCGCGTGGAGTCTCCTCGTCCCCTCTGTTCGCCATGAGCTTGCCAAACGGCATGATAGGGAAAGTCAGAGTGCCCCTCGTATGCGGTTCAAGCTCTTACTTTGGGGACCAGCAGAGTCCTTGTGGGCATGCAGGTTTATGTTTATGGGTTCCAGCAAGCCCTAAGACTGTATTCCGAACTTCCTTCCGTCTTGAAGAGTTCATGGGCACGAGGCTCCTTTAAACCGTCATGAAAGAGAAGCCGAGCTGCTAGCGACACCAACAGCACTAGCACTAGCACCAGCACCAGCAGCACAAACAGCAACTGCAACTGCAGTGGCAACAATATCAACCACACACACACAAACAAAATAAACAAATCAATAAAGACAAACCAAACAAACAGGTTTGCAACAAAACAAACACACACGCGCACGCGCACACACACACACATACACACACAAACACAGACAAACACACAGAGACACACACACACACACAGAGACACACACACACACAGACACACACACACACACACACACACACACACACACACACACTCACACACTCACACTCACACTCACACAGACACACGCACAGACAGAAGCAATCAAGCAAACAAGCAAGCCCACAATGCAAACCATCAGACAAGCACACCAATACACCAACCGGCCAAAAGGACAACAGCTGCATCAGCGGCAACGGTAGCAGCAGCAACAGCAACAACAGTACTCTTCTGCAACAACAGTAAGAAGAGTAGCAACAACCCCGACAAGACCATTTTTTCACAAGAACAGCAGCAGCAATCACAGATCGGAATGACACCATGATGCATGCTAGTCGAAAAATCGTGATGCTTGTGACCAGCTGGTACATTTAGACGTCTGGCCCACGTTGACTACGACATGATGTCACCTGCAGATGTTGAATGTGGTTTTCAGACAACCAAGAGAGCCAACTATAGACCCCGGAGTACGAGACCCGATCGGTTTCTGGCATTCTCGTTATAGAACCTGCATTGTAAGAACCGCCCTACAAGCATTCTTGGTCGACCCCGGAACTCGCGAGTAAGAGCCCCAAAAGAAGCCGGAGTTGCCTGTTCAGGGTTTAGGTCAGAAATGTGTTGATGTGAGAAGGGCAGAAAGGGTTGGGGCATTGTTTACTAGACTTGAAGGCTCAGAGGGTTTAGGACCCATGCAAGAATATACGCTAAAGGGTTTATGGTTTACGGAATTCAGTGGTTTGGATTCAGAAAATCCTATAAATCACGGCTGTTGCACAGGGGCTCGTGATTCTAAGTTTGTAATCACTACCTGCTTCTAGGTGCTGGCTGCTAGATGTATCCCGAAACCCCCCGACGAAGTCCCTGCGTGGCGGCACAGTTCGTCTAGGAAAGGCAGAAGCGGCTTTTCAGCGAGAGCCCTTGCTCCGAACTGGGCCACATTGGGACCCTAGGCCCTAAAGCCTGTGCAGACGGAGAAACGTGCTTTAAAAAAAGCCCTAAACCCACCAGCTCCACGAATCTGAGGGTCAACACCTTCATCGCTGCTCAGCTGAGCTTGGCTTTTTGAACCGTGGGCTTGTGGTGTGGGGTTTAAGGTATTTAGGGATGTTTAGGGTGTAGGGTCTCCGAAGTTTAAGTAGCTTTGTTGTGTCAAAGGGTTTTGTGTTTGCAAGTTAAACAGTTAAGACATCCTGGCCTTGGCAGCCAGCCTTCTTATGAAGGAGACTTGATGGTGCTTTCACAGCTTCGATCATAGTCATGCTAACTGTAGGGGAAAGCCGAGACATACTACAGCATCCCACCAAGCGCAAACGACATGGTATATACAATTTACAAGCACTGCTCGCAGCACTTCGAGCCCAGGACGTCGAAGAAACGGACGACGAGCAGTCAGAGTTGCCCGTGGCGGGGATGAAGACAGAACCAGCACCGACTTTATGGGGAGGCCGCCGGCGGGGTTCACAGAAAGGAATTGGGTTGCACTCTTAGCGCATAGCTGTATAGATGCTGGAAGACCCGAAACGAACCAACGGGAAACTGAAAGTTTGACCGATTCAAGGGTTTGTGGTTAGAAGGTCCGATCAAGAGCCACAAGCTAACCCCTTAACCTTTCAACTTTAGACCAATCACATGTCAAAAGCAATCTTTACAGATGGTGTTTTTAGATTCGGGATTGTCACGGTGTTCATTCGACTTTCTAGCTTCAGTTGATGTGCTTTCAAAAGATCGGAAGCTTAAGCGGTTTCGGTCGCCAATCTGAAAGCTGGCTGTGACTTGGGGTTTAGGGTCCTACGGCAGTGAGCAGGCCAAACTGCCCTAAACCCGCCGAGCTGTCAATCCCGCAATTCCCACGCTTCAAACCCCAGCATGGCACGCCTGCATAGCGCAAGCTTCCCGTGTCACCCGGCAGCTTCCACTCAATCCCTGATTTTCCAAATGCCTTGTTAATGCCAACGGAGCTGCAAACGAAGATTTCCGAACCCTAAACCTGCAGCCGCAACTCTTGACGGCGGGAGGACTGAACAGCCCACAATCGCGTGCGATGTATCCAAACAGCACAGAACAGGAGCCGGAGGCACGGATTTAGCGCGGGGTTTGGAATAATTGCAACGCTTAATAATCCCCGTGCAGTGCCTCTATAGTCGTACGACAATAACATACCCCGACGCGCAAGTCTAGTTATTCAGGCCCCTGCATTATGCATCCCTTACAGAATCCTTACAGAATCCTTTAGTGAACTCCTTTTGCAACTACCTAGACCCCCAGCTACCCCAAAAAAGGTACCGTAAATACCCTCTATTGGGGACCATAAGGGCTCTGTTAAAGGGCACTTGGAGGGCCCGGTTCAGGGTTTTAGGGTTTAGGGTTCAGGTGTTTGGGGCTCAGTTCCTGGCATATGCGTAGTCCAGGTGTAAAAAGTTAGGTGTTTAGTGCTGGCAGTCATCAAGTCCGGTTTCAAAAAAAGGTGTTTGGGGCTTTAAGTTCCAGGTTTTTGGAGCTTTGAAAACGGGTCTGTGAGTGCGATTTGGGGCACTTGAGCCTTGGTCCTGGTCGGGTCTTCTTGTGTTTAAGCACAAGGATGAGGTGGTAGGGTTTACCTGGACCCCAAAGTACGTGGAATTGTTTTTTTTGCAGGAGTTTGGGGCTATTCCGTTGCTTGTCTACTATTGGGGATTTAGGGTACGGTTTCGCTCAGGAACTCCAAAACGAGCACAAATCCTGGCCCTTAATACCTGAACCCCAAGCTTTGGTTTTCCATGTCCATGTGGAGCCCATTTGTCGTGAATGCGCGAGAGAACACCGTTTCGGAGGGCATGATGAGGGAATCCCCTGATCTTAGTACCTTTGACCGTAAACGGTACGCCTGCGTTGCTATCAAAAGCCTTTGCGGTCAACTCTATCGCATTTGTTTGCTCAGCTGTTTTTGTTGAAAGGCGCCGAGGAACCGAGCTTCAGGATCATTCGTTACAGAAGCATAAGACCTTCAGACTTTGTGCCCGAAGCCCCCACAATTCCTAAAGCCTCCCTGCGAGGTAGCCGAGGCGAGCAGGAGGGTACCATGCCTATTGGGTAATGAGCCTCTTTGTGCGGAATTCGGCGTCGGAGCCCCAGTGGGAACACAGTGACGGTGACTCTGTCATCGCAACTCCAGAGCCTGTTGCCCGCGCACCCCAAACCCTGAGACGGATGAAGCAGATGACATCAGCAACTTTGAGCTTATTACATGCTAAAGCTGCTAAAGCTACTAAAGCCCTGAACCCGAACTTCCCAAAAGCCTAGATTCCAATGCCCGAAGTCCCCAGAGCGAAAGTTTCCCAGCCATTCCGGTGAACACCCAAGAAACGAGACATCCCCAGGGCTTTCTGTCTCAACTCAAGCTTTCCAACTGTAGACTGTAGGCTTTCGGGTTCAGGGCAAAAAGGGTATGCACTGCCCCAGCCTTCTGAGGTGAAAGTGACTATTAAGAACACTTTCATCGATGTAAGCTCCGACGATGACGACGAGACCGCCAACCCAATGATGGAGAAGATCAAGAGCGAGCCAGCCCTTCGCCACGTTAGTGTTTAGGGTCCAAAATGGAACTTCATAATTTGAATAGGGTCTTTTGGGTCATATTATGCTGCAAGTATAGCGAGATGGTACTATCAATTTTCAAACCTTGCCTATTTTGAGGTTTATAACTGGTTCGACCAACCGATATACAGAATCCACAGTGTTTAGACGCGGATACATGCGTTGGTGCCTACATGGAAATGTGTGGTTGTCCGGAATGTTGCAATGGAAACCGTCTGGTCTGTGATACTGTAATTGGATAGTTATGCAAATTAGGCCCCCTTCCTGACATCCTTATACGAGCGGCGAGCACTTTGCAGGACCCGAAGAGGGGCTCTACTTGAGAGCACAACCCTGAACTCCAAACCTCCACTGGCTTTTGTTCTGGTTGAAGGGCTTTGGGCTGTAAGGAGATTCAGTGCTCGCCCTACACCCGTGACTGCCGCACCATTGAGCACTCACATCCGGGCTGCTCCTAGTACACTTAACTATTGTGATGTGGGACTTTGGCGGATCATGGAGCCAGCAATTGCAAAGATGTCGTGGGGCACCGAGTTCACGATCACTGCGGTGCATCCAACGTGGTGAGTTGTCAGTCCAAAAAAGACGGGATGCATGGCCATCCTCAATTGCAATGCAACCTCAAACCTGACGAGCCCAGATGTCTTTTTAACACTCCGATGATCTCAATGTGCTCTCCGGAGGTCCACCCGACGCCCCTCTCCCCGGAGGGTGATGTCCAAAAGCGCGCACCTGGGCTGTTCGAAATAGTATGACGTCTCTGGTTCTCCTCCGTAAAGGTTGGCAACATGACGGCTTGCAGAGGACACTACACAAGACGGCTTGTGTTGCGGGTCTATGTCATGTAGATACCGTGGTTGATATGTATATGTTCATGTCTCGTCCTGTCTAATGTTAGCAGCAGCCCTCGCGGTTTCAGGTCTCGTCCTGTCTAGTGTTAGCACCAGCCCTCGCGGGATACTACAATCCTCTCATCACTTACGCCCCACAAATCCCTTAATGACATCGTAGACCCTTGTCTCCGGAATCCTAGGTTGCCTAGGGCTTGATCCTTTCGCCAGCAGGTAGAAAAAAAGTTGGCAGCTTTCCTTCACGTTCAGAACAGGTGCATCAACATACATAGGTGGGTATGTACACACCCCTATGTATTTATATTTATTTATTTATTTATATATATATATATATGTGCCCGATACCTTTAGGGTCTATATAACCGCGTTTTGTTGTCTTCAGCACATAATGGAAAGCAAAATGTAAGGTATAAGCACAGCCCACATTACAAAGCCACGACCTGAAAAGTTTCGGATCGACTAGGCTATATTTTTCTATCAAGTAATTATAGCAAATTACTCGCATTCAGGGAGACGAGTATTATATAAACAGAACATCGAGTGTTGATCCCAACGCTGTCGATGAATAAACATTCGTTGTGATGACTCTTTTCGGTGTATAGAGTCCATACATATTGCAGGAATGATGTATCGTCGTGAAGATATGCATAGCACTGTCAGCAGTATATCGGCAACATGGACAATTTGTCCTGTCCAAATATTTCACAATTCGACTTATTGTTGACTTGCCAGCGCTTGAGTAATTGCATACGACATATCCATCCAAGAATCACGTAATAAGCATGCACGCTGTAATATGGCATAAATTTGTTTGTAATTTCCGCACAGGCCAGAATGCAAAACCTGACAGGTTCGGTACTCATGAATCGGATGTGTTTATATGACAAATATGGGAATACATACGGCATGACACATCCATATCACATGATGTAACACTTTACAGGGCATGTAATGTGCCAATCTGTTATGTCCTGGACTTTCCAATGTATACGTTCCTTGTCAGTAGACGGTCAATCGGAGTGGGTGGAGTGACACATTAGGGTGCCTGTAATATGTCAATTTGATATGCCCTGGCACAGGGGCCTGACAGTGTATAAGTTCCTTGTTAGTAGGGTTTCGGTAGGAGAAATGGAGTGACACATTAGAGGGCATGTAATATGTCAATTTGCCCAGTCCAGGACCCAGGAAGTGAAGATACACATTATAGTGGGTTTAATGTGCTAGTTTGTTATGTCCATAAAAAGTGCTTTCCGATGTATCAATTTCTTATCAGTAGGGTTTCAATAGGATAGGTGGAGCGACACATTATAGGGCCTGCAGTGTGTCAGTTTATTATGTCCAGGGGTTTTCCAGTGGAAGAGTTCCATTGCAATAGAGGTTCCATAGGAGGGAGTGGAGTGACACATTAGAGGGCCTGTAATGCGTCAATTTATACTACCCAGAGGCTTTCCAATATACAGATGCCCTACAGTGTATAAGTTCCTTGCCTTTAAGGTTTCAATAGGAATTATTTACACATTAGAAGGCCTGTAATGTGTCAGTTTGTTTTCCCATGTGCATTCCAATGTATCTCTATACATATCAGATCTGATGTGATCACAGCACTAGCCAAGAAGGATATCACGTAGTTAATAGTCTTCACGATCTTAACAAATGCGCAATTATCCGTATCGAAGGTATACATTCCCATGAAGAATCCCTATAGATCCCTTCACTGATCCCTTGTATGGAGCCCTCATAGACAACCTTTATAGATTCGTATAGAAACTTTATAGATCCCCTATATAGAGAACTTATAGAAACCCCGTATAGATCAACAAATGGAGTTCTTTGTAGAAAACTTTATAAGATCCCTTACATGGAGCTTTCATAGACAACTGCTATATATTCCTTACCCTTTGTAGAAACCACATGGAAGCCTTGTATAGATCCCTCGTATGGAGCCCTTCTGGAAAACCCTTACAGATTGCTTATAGAAATCTTATAGATCCTCTATGTAGAGACCTTATATAAATCCATTATATAAAAAACTGTAGATCCCTTACAGAGAGACTTTCTAGAAACCCATTATGGGTCCCTCATATGGGGCCTTTATAGTAAGCCCGGTTACAAAGTATGTAGATGCGATGTGGTAAGCTATTCTTGATATAGTAGTTAAGATAAATCGATTGTATTATGGTTCGTACATTACGTATGAAATTACCTTTAAAAATAGAGGGAGTGGTATTAAAACCAATGAAACCGGCAACGAAGATGATGAAGAAGATGAAGATGATGCAGATGATGAAGATGATGAAGATAATGGAGATGATGAAGATGAAGAAGATGATGGAGATGATGGAGATGATGGAGATGATGATGATGGAGATGATGGAGATGATGAAGATGATGGAGATGAAGAAGATGATGGGGGTGATGGATATGATGGAGATGGCAGGGGGCAGGGGGCAAATGGCAAAGGGGAGGGAAAGGTGAGGAGGTGGGGAAGGCAGGGATGGTAGGAGAGGGGGCAAGGGAACAGGGGGAGGCCTGAAATGTGTCATGCTTCTTTCTGTAAGGCGGAAAAGATGACACATTTCCGGCCTGAAATGTGTCATGCTTCTTTCTGTAAGGCGGAAACGATGACACATTTCCGGCCTGAAATGTGTCATGCTTCTTTCTGTAAGGCGGAAACGATGACACATTTCCGGCCTGAAATGTGTCATGCTTCCTTCTGTAAGGCGGAAAAGATGACACATTTCCGGCCTGAAATGTGTCATGCTTCCTTCTGTAAGGCGGAAATGATGACACATTTCCGGCCTGAAATGTGTCATGCTTCTTTCTGTAAGGCGGAAACGATGACACATTTCCGGCCTGAAATGTGTCATGCTTCCTTCTGTAAGGCGGAAAAGATGACACATTGCCGGCCTGAAATGTGTCATGCTTCTTTCTGTAAGGCGGAAACGATGACACATTTCCGGCCTGAAATGTGTCATGCTTCCTTCTGTAAGGCGGAAAAGATGACACATTTCCGGCCTGAAATGTGTCATGCTTCTTTCTGTAAGGCGGAAACGATGACACATTTCCGGCCTGAAATGTGTCATGCTTCTTTCTGTAAGGCGGGAAAGATGACACATTTCCGGCCTGAAATGTGTCATGCTGCTTTCTGTAAGGCGGAAACGATGACACATTTCCGGCCTGAAATGTGTCATGCTTCTTTCTGTAAGGCGGAAAAGATGACACATTTCCGGCCTGAAATGTGTCATGCTTCCTTCTGCAAGGCGGAAATTTAAAAGATGACACATTTCCGGCCTGAAATGTGTCATGCTTCTTTCTGTAAGGCGGAAACGAAGACACATTTCCGGCCTGAAATGTGTCATGCTTCCTTCTGTAAGGAGGAAAAGATGACACATTGCCGGCCTGAAATGTGTCATGCTTCTTTCTGTAAGGCGGAAACGATGACACATTTCCGGCCTGAAATGTGTCATGCTTCCGTCTGTAAGGCGGAAAAGATGACACATTTCCGGCCTGAAATGTGTCATGCTTCTTTCTGTAAGGCCGAAAAGATGACACATTTCCGGCCTGAAATGTGTCATGCTTTTTTTGTAAGGCGGGAAAGATGACACATTTCCGGCCTGAAATGTGTCATGCTTCCTTCTGTAAGGCGGAAAAGATGACACATTTCCGGCCTGAAATGTGTCATGCTTCTTTCTGTAAGGCGGAAACGATGACACATTTCCGGCCTGAAATGTGTCATGCTTCCTTCTGTAAGGCGGAAAAGATGACACATTTCCGGCCTGAAATGTGTCATGCTGCTTTTATGTAAGGCGGAAACGATGACACATTTCCGGCCTGAATTGTGTCATGCTTCTTTCTGTAAGGCGGAAAAGATGACACATTTCCGGCCTGAAATGTGTCATGCTGCTTTCTGTAAGGCGGAAACGATGACACATTTCCGGCCTGAAATGTGTCATGCTTCTTTCTGTAAGGCGGAAAAGATGACACATTTCCAGCCTGAAATGTGTCCCTAAACCCTAAACCCAAGAGCCCAAACCCTAGGCCCTAAACCCTAAAGTCCAAACCCTAGGCCCTAAACCCTATACCGCAAACCCTAGGCCCTACACCCTAAACCCTGAAGCCCATACCCTAGGCCCTAAACTCTAA